GTGTGTGTGTGTGCATGTAGATTCTTCTGTATTAAGTGTGTCTGTGAGTGAGTTTCGAGTGTTAGTGTATGTGTGTATAATTGTGTGTGTGAGGTACGTGTTATATGTTAATGTTATTATTATTATTGTTGTTGTTGTTGTTGTTAATGTTGTTTCAACTTTAATAGCTCTGTGACTGTAACATAAAAGCCGATGTTGTAAAGATTTAAGAGTGCTTCGTCTGATGCAAAATGTCATTCCACGCTGCTGCATCAGCACCATCAATTGCCGTCGTGAGTGCCAGCCAGAAATGATGATAATGATGATGATGATGATGATGATGATGATGAAGAGGTTTTTTATGATTATGATGACGACGATAACGACGATGATAGTGATTAATTAACCGACTTAACTTTTCCGACATCAAGTGCTCTATTTAACTTCCTCACCTACTTTACGCTCTCCTTGTAATTGACCTACTTTACCGTCATAAACTGACCTACTTTACAGCCATAAACTGACCTACTTTACCGCCATAAACTGACCTACTTTACCGCCATAAACTGACCTACTTTACCGCCATAAACTGACCCATTACCCGCTGACCTACTTACACCTGAGATTTGGGTCAAGGCACCGCCAAAAATTGACCTACTTCACCGCCATAAACTGACCTACTTTATCACCATAAACTGACCCATTACCCGCTGACCTACTTACACCTGAGATTTGGGTCAAGGCAGGGTTTCGAGTAGACAGAGTATCGGCCAAGATGGCTTTCAAGTTCACTGACGGCCTGCTGGTCAGACTGGCACTTGGTCATCAAGTCCTTGTAGCAGGCTTGTGTCTTTGTCCACTCCCTAGTATGATGATGATGATGATGATGGTGGTGGTGGTAGTAGTGGTGGTGGTAGGGGTGGTGGTAGTGGTTTTTGATAAATTAATGGAACATATTAAAAATGGATAATGGACATTATTATTATTATAAGACATTAGACATTATATAAAGACATTATTCAGTTTTAAATGAAAAGATTATGAAGAGTAACACAAACGAAAACACAGAAAAATACACACATACAGAAACACACATGTGTGTGTGTGTATGTATATATGTATGTATGTATACATAACATAATCACACACACAAACACGAACAACAAAAAGAAATGTTTACTTAGCACGTTGAATTCCATCGAATGGTACATCCTTTTCATTCCACTATCAAACAAAAGTTTATGTCAGCGTGCATGTTTATGGGGGCATACATTTACATACACACACACACGCGCGCATACACATGCACACACACACATAAACACGCACACACATAAACACGCACATACACACACATCTTAAAAATGTTCGTACAACATTTTGCTCTCGACAATATTGGCAAAAAAAATTGATTTAAAGCCTGCAACATAATGCAAAAATCAGCTTTCAGTTACATTTTTCAATTATTTTGACTGTTATGGGCATATCCGCAAGCATGCGTTTGAATCTTGGCACATATTTTTGCGCATGTGTGCTTTGGTTTATGAATATTTATTCATATGCGTATATACGTGCGTGTACGTTACGTGTACGTGTGTGTGTGTGTGTTTGTGTGAGTTTTTGGATTGTTTTTCAAGCTTCTCCTTGTTCAACTGCCTTACGAAATTAACAGAAAACACACACACATACATTCAAAAACACACATACGAACACACACACACATACATACATACATACATACGAACACACACACACATACATACATACATACAAACACACACACACACATACATACATACATACAAACACACACACACATATGAACATACACACAGATATGTATGTATAATAATTAATACGTGTAAAAAAATCTAGAAAAATATTTATTATTCCTTTCAAAATTAGTTTACAAAACACGTAACTATGATTGGACATTGCACTTGGAGGAAAATGTGACATGAGCCGAAATATGTTGTACCAAAACTATTTTTTCTGTCAGTTTGTTTGTATATAGTTTTCTGTATGTATTTTAGCATGTTTTAGTACCAGTCCGTATGTGTGTATGTTTGTATGCATGTATATATGCCTGTAAATAAAAAACGGATTTCCAAACATTCGCACTGTCATTCATATGAATGCATATGCGAAGGACTCAAGATTTTATTCAGCAAATTTTATGCCTTTATGTGATATTTAAATGTGTATGTGTTATGTGCGTGTGTATGTATGTATGTTAGTGTGTGTGAGAGTAAATGTGTGTTTATTTGATTGTACTTTTGCGTGCACGTACGTGTGTACGTATGTAAAGTTTCTCGGTGTACTAAAGTGTACTTTCGATTTGGAAGTACCAGATGCAGCTATGAACGGCCTATGAAGAGATGTTACAGACCTAACTGCCTTTTAAACAGTTGACAGTTGTTTAACACTTAACAGTTGTTTATTTGTTTATTAGTCTCACTCCACACCTGTGCTAGGCTAGTCCGACTAAAAATACAAACGAACTAAAAAGTACCATTGTATCTGTTGTTTTAATGGGTGTTTTTGTTTTGTTGCTGTGTGTTTCTTGAATCTTGTTTTTGTTGAATTTATAGGTTTTTTCTGTATGTGCAAGGCATGTTAGGCTTTTTTTAGTTTTGTTTTTAAATTGTTTTGAGTTTTAGTATTTTGTTAAATGAATGAATTTTTAAACGTGTATATTTATATTATTTGAGTGTGTGCGGTGTGTGTGCGTGTGTGTGGGATGAATACTAATAAGGTAGGTAGGTAGGTGTTTATATAGGATAATGAATTTTGATCGGAAGCAATTTCAATTTTTTAATTCTTAAATGAGATTCTACTTTTAGCCACCGCGGTTTTGAAATGCAAAACTCCCATCCATCCGTTTTAAACTAATTCATTTTTACCGTTTTAAATCGATTTTTTTTTTCAAGTCCAAATGCAAATTAGATGAAAACTGTTATCACCACTAAGATGTTAATCATCATCATCATCGTCGTCGTCCTCTCTATCATCATTTCTTTTTGATTATTATTTTAATCACCAGCATCATCATCGTAATCTTATGTGTATGCGAGTGAAGGTTTACACTGCATTATATATTTATATAAACACATTTGATGTACACACACTTATCTATGTATGTATACATACATATATACACATACACATATACATGTATATCTATATGTATACGTATATCACTTTATTCAATCAAACAAAACAAAATGCATGAATAATTCGGAGACCAAAAACAGAAAATTAATTCTTGATGAACACATACATACGTATACCCATAAAATCATATATATATATATATATATATATATATATATATATATATATATATATATATATATATATATACACCCACACACCTATGCATACAGACATACACATACACACACACATACATACATACACAAACAGATACAAACATACCGAGATACACCTAGTATACTGTGCAACTCTATTGCACGTAACATTGCAAAACAGACTTTGAATTTATAACATTGGTCTGACTCGCTCACGTCTCAATACTGCCCCGCAACTTTTTTATTTATTCATTTTTTGTTATTTCTTCATTCACTCGTTCTTTTATTCTTTCATTTTTTCCTTCTTTCATTCATTCACTCGTCTGTTCGTTTTTTGTTCATCCGTTCATCCATTCATTCGTTCTCAAATTATAATAGGCATTCAATTATTCATTCGTTCGTTCGTTCGTTTACTAACTTATTTATTCATTCATTTATTCATTTATTCATTCATTTATTCATTCCTTCAGTTTAGTATTTATTTACTCCACAGAGCTTTGTACTTACAATTTTGTATCAATTTCTGTAAAACAATTAAGTTTTATTGTTTTTAATTTTCAACTTTTTGTATGTTTTCCCAATTTTTTGTATGTTTTTGAAAGTTTTTGTATATTTTTTGTATGTTTTTTTGTATTTCAAATTTATTTCACTTTTTTGTCCACAGGCTTACAAACATCTATCAATCTAATTAATCGTTTGGTTGATACTTTACTTTCTTTTTTATTCATTCATTCGTTCGTTCGTTCGTTCAATCGTTCGTTCAATCGTTCGTTCGTTCGTTCGTTCGCTCATTCGTTCATTCATTCATTCATTCATTCATTCATTCATTCATTCATTCATTCATTCATTCATTCATTCATTCATTCATTCATTCATTCATTCATTCATTCATTCATTCATTCATTCATTCATTCATTCATTCATTCATTCATTCATTCATTCATTCATTCATTCATTCATTCATTCATTCATTCATTCGTTCATTCATTCATTCATTTATGCATGTATGTGTGTGTCTGTGTGTTTTTATGCTTGGGCGTGTGTTAAAGATCTGGGAAAAAAAAATTGTTAACACTCGAGTGAAAATTTTATGGATGATCAAATGGGATGACTGAATGCTCTTGTGGTAGAATGTGCAACGTACGGTGTTGCTACGTTTGTTGTTTGTTTGCTTGTTTGTATGTTTTGTTTGTATGTTTAAAGGTTCATGTTTGTTTGTATGTTTGCAAGTTTGTTGCCGTGTTTGTTTGTGGTTGCATTTTTAGATTTTCTGCTTTATGTGTCGACACAACTACGTAGTTGTTTATGTCTATTCTGAATTTCAGCTCTCTATGAAATGTCGTTGATGTTTTCGTTGTTGTTAGTGATATTATTATTGTTTTTGTGTTGTTGTTGTTGTTGGCATGGTTGTTGTTGGCATGGTTGTTGTTGTTGTTGGCATTGTTGTTGTTGGCATGGTTGTTGTTGTTGGCATGGTTGTTGTTGTTGTTGCTGGCATGGTTGTTGTTGTTGGCATAGTTGTTGTTGTTGGCATGGTTGTTGTTGTTGGCTTGGTTGTTGTTGTTGGCTTGGTTGTTGTTGTTGGCATGGTTGATGTTATTTGCAATGATAGCGAGTGAAGAAGAGAGTCAAAAGTCAAATGATTTATAGACGGGGGAGGGAATGAAGCGCACACTTTTCTTATTTTCTATTCGAAAAAATTTTGTATTCTCTCCTACGTTTCGACCTATTTATGACATTTTTTGTGGAAAATATTCTATTATTTATTAATTAATTTATTTATATTTATTATTTATTGAATTATTGAAAATCCATTTTTAGCATATCTTCGATGTATCAACGACAAGTACAGAGATAGCGAATGGAAGCAGCAAGCAAGACTCACCAGCAAATACATTCAACGCGTAACCCTTGAGAAATATTTCTGAACGTTTCGATTAAATTTTTTTGATATATCCATTCGTCCGTATTTCGTTTCGTTACAATTACATATGTACACATATACATACGGATCGATAAATATATGTTATATATAGTAATAATATTTTTATTGTTAGAACTTTTTCGAAACTAACGAATAAATAAATGTTTGAAGTCCTTAAAACGGAGCACATTATGAATATTTTTGGAAAAAATGTCAATTTTTTTCTCTTTGTCTGCTTCATAGCTTCCTTTTTTCAATTTCTCTCTCTTTCTTTTTTTCTTATTCTCTCTCTCTCTCTCTCTCTCTCTCTCTCTTTGCTGTTTATCACAAACTAATCACACCCAAGAAAAAACTTCAAAAAACAAAATTGCACATCGGTGAATATTCAATCACCAACATTCGTTCGTTCGTTCGTTAGTTCGTTCGCTCGCTCATTCGTTCGTTCATTCATTCATTCATTCATTCATTCATTCATTCATTCATTCATTCATTAATTCATTCATTCGTTCATTTATTCATTCGTTCGTTCAATCGTTTGTTCGTTCATTCATTCATTCATTCATTTATTCATTATGTCATTCATTTTTTATCCATTTTCTCGTTTTTACCTTCAGCATTTTGCGTCTTAGAAAAAAAAATGATTGGGTAAAAAATCTGGAAACATTTTTTCTGCGAAGTTTTAAAAAAACCAAAAAAAAAGAATCATCCAAAATTAGAATTAAATATAAAAAAAAACAACACATAACACTTATACAAAAGATGGAATAAATAAATAAAAAAAAATTAATTGTTTTCATAAATAAATTTACAATCCGCAATTCGTTTATTGATCAAACCAATAATAATGATTTGACCTGAATACCTGCATGATTGAAAATCTTGTAACGGCCAGTAAGAGTGATAACAGCAGAAAATCATGTGGGTTAAAAAAGATATCAAAGTTTAGTAAAATAAATCAACGAAAATGTGAGTTACACATTAATTGTGTGTGGATATATGTGTGCGTGCATGTGTGTATGTGTGTGGTGTAGTGTGGTGTGTGTGTCTGTGAGTGGCATATATACTGAAATATGAAAAAAGGTTTTAGAGAAAATTGACAGATAAGCTTATAAAGTTTTAAGAATTGCCTACAATTAGCATTCAGATTGAGCTGGTATTATGCTTGTTTCTGTACGTGTGCATGTGTGTGTGTGTGTGTGTGTTTGCGTGAAATGTTGTGCGTGTGTGTGTGTTCGTGTGTATGTGAGTCTGAGACGTGTTTGTAATGTTGTTGTTAATGTTGTTGTTGTCTACGTTGCTCTTTTTGTTGCTACTGTTGTTAGTGAACAAATGAATGAATATACGACTCAATGAATGAAGGAATAAATGAGCAAATGAATGAATGAATGAATGAATGAAGGAAGAAAGGAAGGAAGGAACAAATGAATGAATGAATGAATGAACGAACGAAGGATTGAATGAATGAATGAATGAAAGAATGAATGAAGGAGGGAACGAGAGAGCGTATCATTTATTGTCAATTTATTGAAAATGTTGATGTTCCTAGCAATTTTGTTGATTCGAAGTTTATGGG